TTCCCTGATATGTAGCTTTCTATAAGCCGCTCTGAATGGAGAAAAAGCTGTCAGCTTTTTCCTCTATAATACTAGGTGAGGCTCTGCCCCACCTGCCTCCCCTGACCGCACGTCCCTGCTCAGGGGGACGCCTTTGTTCCTCGTTCTGGCCTCATAGCGGCAGCCTGAGTCACTATGGCGATTGTTCCGCCACCGGGTTCAATCACCTCTATAAAGTAATTCACACATTGCAGTATCCCCCCCCCGGTGTTCCGCCTCTGGCATGTAGAAATGATAGGCTTACCTCCCCGCCATATCAATATCGGCCACAAGATGGAGCTGAAGAGAAAACATCTCTAGTTACAGCAGCTTGGATTGTTGTCCTTTAATAAAACTCCCAACATCCCTCAGCCCACAGAGAAGGACACAAGAGCATTGCGGGAGCTCAGCCTCCGTTTTAGAGGAATCCGCTGTCATCCGCAGTATGTGTCTGGAGGAAAGAGCCCAAATCTCGGTTAGGCGGCATCGCTGGTATGGATTGACTTGTTTTGCTCCGTACTTGTGAGCTGACACTCTGTGTACATGTTTTATATATTGATCGGTATGTTTCTATGTTCTTTTTTTACCAGTTTCACCCCACCTTGTTTTGTTAATAAAGCTTTAAGGATTTCACTCAGTCTGGCTTATTGCAGAATCAGAGGGTTTAGCTGCATGTGGAGACCGCAGGGCAACGCATGGTGGGGAAAGAACAATCATCCTCTGTAAAACGAATACAAATGAATCAATGTGTAAATCAGTCAGCTGATCAGCAGGATTGATCAATGGGTTCCCGAGCACACACAGGGGGACCACAGACTCAGCTGGGAGCCCAGGACTTAAAGGAGAACAAGAGGGAGGTGAGCGAACACATACCGGCGTTCGCTCACCTCTCGATCCTGTCACGGCTCTCTGCCGTGACAGGGGGAGGGGCTGGATTCCCCCTCCGATCCTCCAGCGCTGACTGGCGGAACGGACGGGGGAGGGGGAGGGTACAGCTGGCTCTGCCTCTAGATAGGCAGAGCCATCTGTCACTCACGCAACTGGCTGTGTGATGCAATCTGGGCACTGATATTGCTGGGACTTGTTGTGCTACACTAATATGAGTGTATTCGTTGTTGGAGTTCCTGGCCCCCCTGAAATCCTATTTTTTTTAATATTGGAAATTTGCCCCACACTTGTTGCATTTTCCCCCTTCATAGTGGTTCCTGCTGCCCTGTTCTGTTGCAGAAACGTTAAAGGAGAACTATGAGGGGGGGGGGAGGGGGGTGCTTTTCACTCACCTCATAGTTCTAGCCGACCTGTGACAATGAGACTGTCACAGGAATCTCTCTGCTCTGGAGCTCTTTATTCAGCAATCCGCATACAGTGGGGGAAATTTATCGAAACTGGAGCAGACAAAATCTGGAGAAGATTTGCACTGCAGCCAATTAGCTTCTCTCTTTCATTTTCAAATCTTACCTGAGCAAACTAAAGAAAGATGCTGATTGGTTGCTGTTAGCAACTGCTCCAGATTCTGTTTGCTCCAGTTTTTATAAATTCCCCCCAGTAACTTTGTGTCATTTCTCTATTTTTCTGCAGCTATAATGCAGACTGCAGTTCTCTAATGTAACCACTAGATGGCGACGAGTCATCTGGAAAGGTTCTCCATAGTGAGCGGTGCGCACGGTTTAGCGCCCTCTAGTGGTGGAGGAAAATACAACCGTCCTGTAGGGACCATTCTAAGGATCGTCACCTGGTCCCAGCAGAGGAGGACCATGTGTCACCTTCCACAGGTAAGCCATTGTGACTCTTCCATGGGCTCTTCTGTTGTAAACAATGTAATGACAATGTGCAAAGTATGAACTTCAGCAACTTATAGCAATCAGTCTTTGTTGTAAATGCCTTGAACCAATCCCGGGCACTCTGCAGACCCTGAGCTTCATTATCTCAGGAGTTTGTGACAAAGATCTCAGAATCATCTGCGCAGAGACATCAGGGAGTTACAGGAGCAGGGGGATGAGGATGAGGGGCAGTCCTCCTGACTGCAGAGGGAAGCTGCCATGGTTGTAGGGAGTTCAAATGAGAACTGAAAACTTGTGTCAGGCTGAAGATAAAGGAAATGAAGGTCCCTCATGGGGCTGTTTAAAATTAAGAAGGACCTCTGCTGCAACACCTCCTCTCAGGCGCTGTCCCCTGCAGTACCCCCTTTCCCCCACAAGAAGTCCTCAACAATCCAATTTCAATGATGCCCCGTGGAGGACATACAGTGAGTGCAGGGGTCATGGACGCACCCATTCACTAGGGGAAGATTGGGGGAGCACCCTGCAAGTCACAGACCTCCAAACTCCATGCGGCCGTCAGATTGGCGCAACATTATATAAGAGCGCGGCGCGGAGCCCAGATAACCCCGTAAACAGCATCTCCTGGCCGAGGTCCCGCAGATCACCCCCTTCCTGAGGCTGGTGGGGGGGCGAGGAGGTCGGGTCACATCGTTATCATTGAATGGGTCACATTTTTATCACCGACCTTCTTCAGCGACAAGCTCATTAGCAGCATTTACTGTATTATATATATATTGCAGCTTAGCCGTCCTTAGGTCTGCTGGCTGCATTGGTTTTATTTTTTTAAAACCTTTCTTTCTTTCTTTATTAGTTTATTTATTTTAATTGTTTATTTCCACCTGGTGATCCTGCCAGTAACACACTTCCTGCCGCAGCGTGACAACGCTCACTCACCGTCATATATCTTTCAGAGGAGCAGCGTTGTCACCCGAGAAAGGGACTTCAGATCACCTCCCCCTCTCCTTATCTCCGTTACATAGGTGGGTGTTGCTTTGTACGTCACAGGAGATAGTCGGGGAAGGCTGATAACAATGTCTCAGATTTCAGTTCCCTGCACGGGAAGTGACGAGGACGCCGGATCTCTGGCGGGATCAACAGGAATTTTCCTGTCCTTGCTAAAAATGTACTCAGTCTAATGCAGCCGCGGCCGGATTTTACTCTCTCTGCTTCCTCAATGCACCCCCCTACCTACCAATCCCCGCCCCC